TCTTTTAACCCACTTTGCATCCAAGAAGTATTCAGAATTGTATCAAATGACTTACTATAAACAATACATGATGAAAATGTAGATTTGTGCAGTGATCCAGGAATGTGTAATGAAGAATTTTTAACAATAAAAAATTATATTATTTCAATTGATTAGTACTTGTAATCATATATACAGTAAAAGTTGTTCCTCAAAAAATATATGTTGTTCAGTTTATGTTTTTGTGCATCCTTAAATGTAATTATAGAGACCTGGGTCAATCATAAAATAAGTAAACTGAAGAATCATAAAATAGTGTGATTTGACTATTATATCAGTGTTTAAAATATATATACATGGCAAAAATTAATACAAACATGGAAGAATAAACATATAGTTTGTGAATAAAATTCAATGTTAAAATAAAACGCCTCTTTTTAGAATTGCAAACCTGTCCACATTTTCCTATCTGCAGTGCCACAATCATTCCTGTCTTGAACAGGTCAGAGGGGAAGAGTGAGAAGGATTGGGAAGCCAGGAGACCAGGGCCAAGTTAAAGTAGGAAAAAAGCTAACAGAAGGAGAAGTGAATAGAAGCAGATGAGAGGGCATCTGTGCCCAGGTGCGTAGCTGGCATCTGAGGCACAAGGTGTTGCTGGATCAGGGATAGATTGAAGGGCACATTCGGTGACCTTAGGGTTTGACAAAAACATGAAGGAGGGAGAGGCATAAAGAGGCAAGTCCCTTAATGAGGGTGCAGAAGGGGGCATTGGGAGGTAGGCTCAAGGTCATGGAGAGGCTAAGCCACTAGAAGTGACGTGAACAGGGGAAGAGCAGGGCTTTGGGACAGGTACTGGTGAGCCAGGATATGCGCAAACCTCAGGAAGAGGGTCGAAGTAGGGAGGGTTAATGTGGGTTAAAGGACAGGATGAGGGGAGACGGGGTACACTGAGGGGACCTAGGAGTCTGAGGTGAGGGGTTGGGACAAGTACTGAGGGTCTGGGTTGAGTGTCTAGGTCTTCCTCTTCTGTCTCAGTGCTTTCTGTTAAACCCCAAGCAGTTATTCCATATAAATGAGAACCTCAGACTCTGAGTTGGAAAGGGACTGACAGTAATTTTGCTCAGCAGTATTCTAAGTTTGCTCCCAAGATTCTCCCCCTAGGGTTAAGCCTTGTATAATCTCCTCCCTTTACTTCTGTTCTGGACCTTTGAATGTGACGGAATATCGTTCTCCTAGTTAGGTTACATTATATGGCAACGGTGAAAGTATTTTGCAGATGTCATTCAGATCCCTAATCAGTAGATTGTAGGGTAATTACAAAGGAGTTTTTTCTGAATGGGTATAACCCAGTCAGGTGAGCCCTTTTTAAAGAGGATGTCAGAGAGATGTGAAGGCACAGACAGTCTGCTGCTGGCCTTGAAAAGGCAATCAAAGGTAGGATACCCAGTAACTAATACAAAAAGTAACCTATAGGGGATAGAAGGGAATATTGAAGAAGTAATATGAAGAGGAGTGACACTTCTGAGAATACCTGTTTGTACAGTTTTGGTTTTGGAACTTCATGTGTACCCAAAAATGAAACTATCAACAAAGATGGGCAAAAAAAATTGAAAAGGAAAACATGAGCCAAATTTTATATCAAATGACTACCACAATCACAAAATAAACAAAAAAAAAATTCAAGTAATTTTTGAACACAGTGTTTTTCCTATATACTCTCAAGGGAAATACAAAAGTACCTGCAAATTATTCCTACAGCTACTTGATTATTTTATCAGTGGAGTGGGTGTAGCAAATTTGGAATGTATTGTATGAATGAGTACATGAATAAACGTATTTAGATTTTTCAGCCTTGGTTACCCAGTAATGGAGGGATACAAATACTTAAGGAAGAAGACAAGTCTCAGGATAGTGGATTGGAATTAGACTTATTAGCATGAATTCATGATGTATGTTCTGTGTGTGTGTGT